ACGGGAATTACAACTAAAATAAAGACAAATTGTGGGAAAAAAGCAATAGAAAAGCAGCAGGACAGGACCATATAACCAGGGACACCGGTAGGATCTGCAGAGGCATGAGAGGGTGGCAGGCTGGAAGCCCACAGACAGCAGCAGACCTAGCTGTGAGCAGCACCCTTCTGGTTAAAATTCCAAGCTGGCTCCACAGCACAGAGGGCTGGACAGAGCACCTTGGGCTCCGGCAAAGGGAGGGCGGACTGGACTGGAACTCTGTGGAAACACCCAGGATTTGGAGGGTGCTCAGAGTTTTTGCTGTGTCATGGACACAAAGGATGGTGGCCAGCTTGCTCTTCCCGGACCTGTGGGGAAAAGCAGCAGCTCCTCCCTCAGAGATTAAAGCCCACCCAGGTGAGCCAAAAGAAATGCAAATTGAGGCTCATTAACAACCAGCATCTGCTCCGCCCTCTGGAAATCCTCTTATGAAGAACATCTGAGGGCTACATTCCAAGGCCCTGAGTAACTGAGCCTCCAGGCAAAAAGCTAGAGGATAACTGAACCATTCCTGGGCAACAAATCCCAAATGAAAGAACACGAAAACTATACTAAAGATGAGATAAATGAAGTACAGTTAAGCAAGTTATCAGAGGTAGAGTTCAGAGCTAGGATCTTAAGGACGCTCAACAGCATGAGTAAGGATATCAACACCATGAGTAAAGATATAGAAACACTGAAAACCAAATCAACCAAGTGGAAATGAAGAATGACATAGCAGAAATAAAGAACACATTGGAAGGACTAAACATCAGAGTAGAGGAAGCTGAGGACTGGATCAGTGAATTAGAAGGCAGGGTAGAAAAATCAACCAATCAGAAAACAAAAAGGAAAAAACAATTAAAAAACAGGAAGACAGCTTAAGAGAACTGTGGGACAACTAGAAACGTAATAACATTCACATTATAGGAGTCCCCAAAGAAGAAAATGAGCAAGGGTTAGAGAATATATTTGAAGAAAAAGTGACAGATAACTTTCCTAACTTGATGAAGGAAGAAGGCATTCAAGTTCAAGAAGCACAAAGAGCCCCAAGTAAGAAGATCCCAAACAGGCCCACACCAAGACACATAATAATTAAAATGCCAAAAATCAAAGACAGAGAGAATCCTAAAGGCAGCAAGAGATAAGCAACAGGTTACCTACAAAGGAACCCCATAAGGCTCTCAGTTGACTTCTCAACAGAAACACTACAGGTCAGAAGGGAATGGCATGGAGAACATAGCAGTCTGAAGAACAGGGTAGTCCCAGAGACGTGGAAGTAGGGTACAGACCGACAATCCCCAGAAGAAGGCGTGGAGGGGGGAGAGATAAACCACAGAACTGATATGCATGTATGCATAACCAATGGACATGGACAACAAACCTGGGGCGGAGAGGGGGGGGGAGGAGGGTGTCAATGGGGAGAAAAGGAGAAATGTCTGTAAAAAAATAGATAAATAATAAAAATAGTACATGCACGTAATATTTTTATAAAATAGTATGACACGATTCATGGGAATAAATTTTATGACTCAGAAAAAAATTTGTATCAACTTATGGTTTTCCATGTATATACAGACACAAATGCCCACTTTCTTATTAACCATATGACCCAACAATCCTATACCTAGGTATCTGCCCAACAAAAATGAAAACTGTGTGCACACAGAAACCTGTACATAGAAGTGGATAGGGGCTTGTACATTCATCCAGTGGAATACCACTCATCAGTGAAAAGAAACAAAACAGCATGGATGAATGTCAAATGTATTATTCTGGTGCAATAAGCCAGGTTGAAAAGGCTCCATACTGTAAGATTTCATCTGTATAATATTCTGAAAAAGGAAAAACTACAGGGACAGAAAGCAGTGGTTGCCAAGGAATGGGAGTGTGGGGGTGGTGTGACTAGAGCGGGGCACTTTTTATGATCTCTGGAACCGTTCTGTATCTTGATTGGGTTGAGGTCCATGGCTGTGTAAATTTGTGAAAACTCAGAGAAAGGCTTACTTAAAAGGGTAGATACTATTGTCTGTAAATTATACCTCAACATACCTGACTTAAAAAAAAATCCTAAACAATTAGGCATATGCTTCTGTTTTCAAGCATTGTATAAGAGATCTGTTGTTTGCAGAGGTTTGTAATTTATTTTATTAAAATCATAGGCTATTACAGGTGAAAAGAGACTGTAAGACATCTCATGTCACCCTGGTCGGTTTGGCGTAGTGGTCAGAGCACTGGCCCGTGGACAGAGTCACAGGGTTTGATTCTCGGTCAAGGGCATGTACCTGGGTTGTAGGTTCGATCCCCAGTAGGGGTATGCAGGAGACAGCCGATCAATGTTCCTCTCTCACATTGATGTTTCTCTCTCTCTCCCTTCCTCTCTAACAAAGAAAAATCAATAGAAACATTTTTTAAAAACCCACAAAACTTCACTTTACCTCTAGGATATAAAATTCCTGACAGAATTGTATGCTAAAAATTGTCTTATCCTGTTTTGTATGGCTCAGCCTATCAATTACCAAGGCTGTGGCTGGACCAGCCATGGTGGTTCTTATGACTGCAAGATGCTCTTCAGCAATAACCATCAGGAAATTTTGTTACTTAGACCTAGAAATTCCACAGAACATCTGGGGCCACACAGCAAGGTTGAGAGCTCACAGGAGCCTGGGGCTCTGCTTTTATTGGGATGGAGGCTAGGGGCCTAGGGTTTTACCTGACCCACCCTTTATTGGTTAATTTAAAACAAAGGAGCAGGAATTTAAGTACAGGAAGAGAAAGCAAACAAGTGGAGCAAATGGTCACTTAATGAAATTAACCAAGAGCTGGAAAACAAAAGACACTCCGTGGGGAAGGCGGCCTGGCTCCTTGTGGCTTAGTGTTTACCGGAAATGGCTGTCTTTGAGGCGGATGCCTGGGCAGTCAAAGCTGAAGTCAGCCACATGCATCACAACAACAAAAAGCAACAATTGTCAGGGTTTACACTACTTAGCCACATGTGATGAATCTTGAAAGGTTAAAGTCAGTGGCTTAAGGCATGCAGGCATGCTAAATAGCAACCTCAGACAATGAATAAAGAAACATTGGCTTTATTTAAAGAAAGGGGGTGGGGGTGGGGATCCAAAGGAAGGGCTACACATCACTGAGCCATGAGGAATTGGGTGGATGACGGCAGCCCTTGGGAGCTGGAGTTTTGTCCTTACATGCACCCACTGGCGGGAAGCTTTTGTCAGTCAGTGGGTTTTGGGGTCTTGGTTGGTGGGTTTGGTCGGGGGGCTGGGTCTACTGGAATATGGGTGCTTCTTTGCAGTTTTGGTTCCTTAGATGGTTTTATTCCTGGTGTCTGGCATCTCTTGTCAGGGCCAGTTCTCCTGTGGCTGGAAGTTTGGTCTTTGTTCTCCTGCAGTGAGAAGGCTAGCAAAATGGTCCTTAGGAATTATATTGCTGTGTAAGTCCTAACAAATCTTATAATATTTCTAATGTTGGTTTAACTTTGTAAACCATGCTTTACGAATGCGTAATTGGATCCTGTGAGAGGCTATTTATCAACATTGGAGACTTCGATCCTTCTCTTCAAACCACCTGCACACTGAATCACACTGTCAGAGACCGCAGAGGGCGCCCCCTGCCTGTGGGGGCTCGGCCCAAGCCCAGCGCACCAGGGGCTTCTACCAAGCACAGCGTGAAAACCACTGCTCCCAAACCCAGCTCTGGGAAGAGCCCTAACAGTGGTTCTCAGATAGACAACCACGCAGAGGATGTAATTACACGTTGATTCGGTTCTTGACGATGGGCTTGTCAACCAGAGACGTCCATGGCGCCAGTTCAGAGTAACATATCTGTCCTGGAAACCACTTGTCACTGCATGAAAGTCTCTGAATATCTTTGCTCATTCTCTCAATGCTTCTGCTCTGCCGTGTTTTTGTGTGTTTTTTTTTAATCCAAGTCTATCCTGGGGAAATAGAGGGAAAATCAAGATTCCATATGCTGAATTTAGGTGCTTTGGAGACATTCAAAAGGAGAGGACAGATTGGCAACCACATCTGTGTGGAGCTCAGAAGAGAGATCCTAAACTGCAAATCAAAAGGGTGTGTCTTCAACACTGAGGTGGTGTGGCCAGAGAGGGGGTGCGGGAAGGGCCCCGGACTCAGCGTGGGGAAGCCAGCTATGAGGCCTGGGCAGAGGACGGTGAATGTGTAATAGGAGGGGAAACGTGTCCCCTCCAGCGGGAGAAAAGCCAGAGAGCATGGAATCATGGAAAGCACATGAGGACAGCATTCCAGAAGAACGAGATCGGCATTGAGTGCTGCTGAAAATGCAGAGGAAATGAAATTTCGAAATGTCCACAAGGTGTAATGGCATGATGGCGGGATGTGATCTCCAGAATCAAGTCCTCTGTCCTTTCTGATCATTCTTCGAGCCTGGAAACGCTCGGGAGCAGACACGGTGACTGGAGCCCCACATCCTCCTTCACTGCTTTCCCGTGAAGAATGCTCCGTAGGTGCCGGCTGTCTGGTGACCCGCCTGGTGCCCCTGAGGTGTCCTCCAAAAAGCAGTTAGGGTACTTGCGGGTGGTTGTGAGAACACTGTTCTGCATCCTGGTTGTGTTGGTGGATACACCTGTTCACACTCATAAAACTGTACACCTCTAAAGAGTCCATTTTATTGCATCATAATTAAAAAATTTTTTAATAGCAGTGGTATAATTCTTTGTCTTAACGTGGTGGTAAGCTCTTGGGTGTTTATTGTAAAGAGATCATTTGAATCTTATATGTAGTTCCTAAATAGGGCTCTGTATTTACACAAGACTTAAGAAAATAGTATATATTGAATAAAAAGAACTAAAGCTTAAATAAAGAATTTAAAAGAAATAAAGAAAAATGCTGATAGGAAATTGATGAAAATGCATATGTAATTCAAGCTGACAATGAAAGAAAGGAAAAAGAAAATTGTAACAAAATCTTTCTGTCTCATCTTTTTGACAGACAGGAATGGGTCACTTGGGTGTTACAGCAGATGGGCTTCGCCTGGAAGGGGAATCAGAATTTTTATTCCCGTTGTATGCCAAAGAAATATGCTCCAGAACGGTAAGACAGTGATGAAATGTTTCAACCATTTGTGTTTGGTGAAAAACAAATAATGGTTAAGCACAGAAATTTCCAGGGAGAGTTCTTAAAATGTACACATGTACACACATTCATGACACACTCTTCGTAAAAGGCTTGGCTCTGAGGCTGGGGAACTTATTTCTGACATTACTTTCTAAAAAGCCTCTATTTTCATGCACTTCAAAGCTGAACTTGGCCTCAGTAATTTAGACCATAATAAAGTTTGGTACTTAATGCCTTAATCAAAAACAATCTAAACTTCTTTCCATTAGTGCATGTAATTTAATACTTCTTTCAAGGCTTTTAGGATTTATCTGAAAAGCTTAGCAAGAAAGTAGTGTCATAGTGGTATGTTCTGTAGTAATTATACTGATTGTGATCTTGTAGGAGTCTCCATTAAGAAATTAAATGTCACTGTTATTAAATAATTGTGTGACTTTAAAAGTAAAGCTACCTCAGTATTATATTCATTTAACTCCATGAAATTTATAACAAATAGAGCCAAGCACAAAACATAGTCAAACAGTTTTTGTAATATGTTCTATTTGTTCCTTATGTGATACTGTGGACTTTGAAGTGGAGCTAAACATTTTGCTAGATTACTGATTAGGTGGAATTAGCTAAATAAAATGTTAAAACTGCATCCAACTATAACTTACCAGTTGCTATTCTGGAGCAATTAAAAAGGAAACGAAAGGCTGACCCCTGAGAAAGACGTGGTCTTGTAAGAGAGAGAGTACTCCCCAGCTAGACATCAGAGTGACCACCAAACTCTGCCACCAACTGCAAACGATGCAGCATAAAACTTACCCAGAAATACTGACCACAAAGGAGAGCACAGAGCGTGAGCAGTGATGAGACGTTACAGGAACCATCTCTGCACAGCAAGAACAGACAAATGACCTGCAGTGTCTCAGGCTGCTGCCCCACGAGCCCGATTCTGAGTGTACCCAGATAATCACTTGCGTCAGTCATGATGGCCTTTCCATGTAGAGCAGCCCTGTCGTATGGGGACATGGGGGATCCACACAAGCTTTTATAAAACGGAAAATAGATGTGAACAAAAAATTTAAATATTAGAATTTAGCGTTGTCTCCCTCAGCGCTATGTTAGATAAGATTGGTAGAATAGCCTGGTGACTAAAATCAGATAATTAGATTATAGTAAATTTAATATTCTGGAATCAATAATATTTTTAGTTATATCTTATGAGACTCTTTCATCTACAGTATACTTTAAAGAATCATGAAGCAAAATTATGTAAATTATTTTAGATAATCACATATTAAAGTCTCACAATGATGCATTAATGTGATATGCGAATCAATACACAAAATTACACAAACATTTGGAATAATATTATGTGATAAAAGAGCTGTAAAGTATTTTGTATCTAATATGACTTTTAATAATAGGATTAACTGAACAAAATTATGTCTTGTACATTTCATGTGCACTGTATTGGTTATATTTCCTTTTCAAAAATGATTCTAGAAATTAATTTTTCATATACTTGCAGAAGTTACTTTATGAATTTGCAAGGTATTTTTCTGTATTGCTGGGCTGAGAAAACTTTTTTATTATTTATAATTAAATATTTAATTATAAATATAATTCAACATGGTACTCTAGCCTCTATCAGTGTGAAAAGGGGACCTCTCGAAATTAATGCATGAGATCTTGTCAAGACTGAGCTTGGACTTTATAATTTAAACCCATCCACCCTGCCTGTTAACCCAAACACATAGCAATTATATATGATAAAACAAAAGGATGTATTTAAAAATTAATCAAAGAATTTATATGCCTATATGCATAGCCCATGGACACAGATGATAGAATGGTGAGGGCCTGGAGTGGGGTGGGAGCCAGGTGGAGAAGGGGAGAAGGAAAATGTGGGTCATCTGTATACTCTCAACAATGAAATTAATTTAAAAATATATATACACATACATATATATACATATATCATATATATATATATCATAGTCAAACATGAAATGAAACAGAAACACACAGAGGTAAAGCTTTGTTTGAAATTATTGTCTTTGAAGTTCACAACCCTGAAAAGAGGCAGGGATGGCTTACAGTCAAAATCCACAGAGGAACAGAGACCAAAATGGCATCAACATGATTGGGACCTCAGATAAACCCACTGCATGAGACAGCACTGAAAGGCAGAAAATAGTTGCAACTATTGCCTAAGCTTGAATAAAGCTGCGTGTCTGTGGGGAGGGGCCCACAAAGCGGTCAGAGCAGGACCTGAGTACCGCTGAGGACAGCAGCCCTGAGCCACCATATACAGCGGAGAGACCTGCGGTCTGAATGGAAACAGCGCTAAAGCCTTGGGGAGGGCGCAGGTGGCCAGAGTGGGGAGGAGGGCATCAAAGAGGGAAAAAGGAGGGACATCAGTACTAAAAAAAAATTAAGCATTAAATAATAATAATAATAATAAACAAATAAAGCCGTTAGGCAGGCTGGGTAAGTGCAAAACTTAAAACACATCTGCACGGGAGCTTGAGACAAAAACTTCAAACCACACAAGGTAAAGCTATCAAATAAAACACTGCAAAAAAGAGAATTCACTTCCAACTAAGTAAAAATAATCAACCTGAAAATGATTAGAAAAGCACAATTAAGATTCTCAAGGAGATAAATCTGTTTTTGAGTAGCTTTCATTAAAAGAACAATTACAAAGTCAAAACAGGTAATATATGGCAGAAACAACAGAGAATAAATTTACCCTCTCTCATAAAACAGCTAAAACCTTGAGAAAATAAAACAATGATTGTTGCTATGGGCTGAATGTCAATATGTTGAAATCCTAACACACATTGAGTCTCTACAGAAGTACTTACAGTGCAGGTGTGTGAGGAAGCCGCCGCAGGCTGAGGAAGTAACCACTCAAGGAGAACAGGAGAGAGTTCCCACAGGTTTGGTAATAGCTTGTATTTACACCAGCCAGAATGGGAAAACTTCGTAAGTCATGGTAGAGTACTCAAAAGGTGTTGGTTCAGGAGCGGCACAAGATCAGCAGTAGAATAAATTCTGGTCTGGTACCATATAACAAAGGTTAACAAGAAGTCTTGAAAGAGTCATACTTTTTCCAAGTGACTTAGTGTGTCCTAGAATGAAGCTTAAGAAAACTATATTCCATCTGGGCACAAAGGTCAAGAAAAGCATAAACATGTTAAGGAGAGATATGAAAACACAGAAGAAAAAAACACACACAAATTAATATTCTAGAGATGAAAAGTATAATGCCTGGAATTTTTTTAAGTCAATTGATGGAATTAACATATGAACAATAGACTGAACACGAAAGAAGAAAAGATTACTGAATTTTAAAATACAGCAATAGATAGATACTAACCAAAATGAAACAAAGAGAAATAAGACAAAAAAAATTACCCGAGTATCAGTGAACTGAGGGACAATGTGAAGGGGTCATATATGTTTGTAATTAGAATCCTTGAAGGAGAATAGAGGGAAGAAAGGACAAATATTATTTGGAAAAAAAAAAAAGTATGATATTTTTCTCCAAGTGTAATGAAAACTTTAAACCCACAGATCAAACAAGCTTAATGAACCCCAAACAAAAGAAACAAGAATTATATCAAGACACATCATAATTAAATTGCTTAAAACTAAAGATAAAGAGGAAATCTTTAAAGCAGCCAGAGGAAAATGACAACTGCATATTTAAAAAAATAATAAAAAGAGGAAAGGAAGACAGCAGACTTCTAGTCAAGAACAATTCAAACCAGAAGACAGTGAGAGACCAAAATATCTTTAAAAAACAAAGCCAAAATAAAATAATTTTTAATATTTTCTAAAGCTGAAAAAAGTTTTTAGCAGACTGGAGCTACAAGAAATATTAAGGGAATTACTTCACAGGGAATATGATATCAGATGGAAATATGAATCCTCACAAAGGAATAAAAAATACCAGAAATAGTAAATACATGGGTAAACAAAAATAATACTTTTTATTATTTTAAACATTTCAGAAGATACTTGATCACTAAAGCAGAAATAAAAACAATGTATTTTAGGGTTTATAATAGAAGTAAAATTTATAGCCACAGTAAAACAAAGACCATGAGAGAAAACATGGAAGTACTGTTATGGTGTTCTTAAATCATACATGAATTCTCATAAAATTATTTGAAGACAGACCATGCTAAGTGAAAGATATATAGTATAAATCCTAAAGTAAACACAAATTATAGCCAATATGTCAACACAGAAGAGTAAGTAAAACCACAAATTATATTCAATCCAAAAGGAAGCCAGCAAAGGACACAAAGAGCAAATGGAATAAATATAAAACAAATGCACATTAGTAGATTTAAACCAAGCGATATCAATAATCACATCAAATATAAATGGTATAAATACTCAGATTGAAAGCCAGAGAGTATTAGATTAAATAAAAAAGCGAGATCAACTATATGCCACCTACAAAACCCACCTTAACTATAAAGACACAAATAACTTAAGAGTAACATAGTTTTTGAAAGATATGCTATACTGCCCTGACTGAGTGGCTCTGTTGTTTGGAGCACCATCCCACACCCCAGAAAAACAAAAACAAAAGAACTTTGCAGGTTCAATTCCTAGTCAGGGCACATACCTAGGTTGCAATTTCAATCCCTGCTGGGAGTGCACACAGGAGGCAACTGATGGCTGTTTCTCTCTCACATCAGTCTCTTTCTCTTTCTCTCTCTCTCTAAAATCAATAAACACATCCTCGGGTCAGGATAAAAAAAAAAAAAAAAAAGATATGCTATTCTAAAACTAACAAAAAGAGAGTTGGAGTGAATATCTCAGACATTTCTCCTAGCAATATTTTTTCAGCTATATCTCCTCAAGGCAAGGGAAACAAGAAAAAAATGAGCTACATTAAATGAAAAAATTTTTGCACAGCATAGAAAACCATCAACAAAACAAAAAGATAACCTACTGATCAGAACATA